ATATGTACTCCTTATATAATTTATGCATGTATATGCACCCCTTGCATACCCCTTGCATATAAGCCTGTTTAAGCTGGGTTATTTGAAACACTATACTAGTCTTTATATATTTAAATATATAAAGCCTTTGTAAATTTTTGTAAAATATGCACCTCTTGCATAATCTCTGCATGTATATGCACTCCTTGCATAACCCTGCATGCATAATACACCCTTGTATAACCCCTACATGCATAATATACCCCTTGTATAACCCCTGTATGTATAATGCACCCTTATATATATATATACTCCTTATATAATTATGTATACATATGTACTCCTTATATAATTTATGCATGCATATACACCCCTTGCATACCTCTTGCATATAAGCCCGTCTAAGCTGGCTTATTTGGAATACTATATATTTAAATATATAAAAACTGCAAATTTTTGTAAAATATGCACCTCTTGCATAACCCTGCATACATATGCACTCCTTGCATAACTCTGCATATATAATGCACCCTTGCATAACCCCTGCATGCATAATGTACCTCTTGCATAACCCCTGCATGTATAATGCACCCCTTATATATATATATACTTCTTATATAATTATGTATATATATGTACTCCTTATATAATTTATATATGCATATGCATCTCTTGCATACCCCTTGCATATAAGCCCATTTAAGCTAGCTTATTTAGAAAACTATTACAGTCAGATTCAATCTGTTCCATCGCCTGTTTCTTAGTTGCATGATTTGATTTTGTTTTTTTCTTCTCTACGTATTAAATTATAAATGTAATAAGAAATATTAATTAAATAATAAAAAGGTAACTATTAAAATATGATTCACACCAGAATAATTTCTACTTTGTAGTGACTTTTCAACTACCTTTTTAGATCATATAATAGGCACAGATAATTTAGATAAATTTTCAGTGCTAATGTCATCATCGGTTTTAAGTAGTTCAGATGAGAAAGATTTAGCATCAACATTTTCTTCAGCTTTGTTACTGTCAATTTCAATTGAATTAGTTGTAGAAGTGCTTGGCAATTCATCTTGAGAACTTGATAATATTGATGAAGAAGTTAGTGCCACCCTCTTATTTTTTAAAGGTGGGGTGATGTTTTTATGTTTTGGAGAAGGTGTAATGTCTCGATTATTAGCATCTTTTATCTTTTTCTTATGTTCAGTTTCCACTATAAAAAAATTGAAGTATTAACTATTAACATTGTATAAAAATTGAAATAAAAAAAATGATTATCCCAATTTCCAAGAATATTTTCAGAAATTTTTTGTAAAACAAAATCTCCAACTGAAACAGGAAATGTTAGAAATTCATGCTTAAACTAACAATAATATAATTGTTAAAACAAATAACAATAATGATAACAATTAAAATTATAATAATTATGCTACTGCAGTACATATATCATTAATAATAGTTCTAATTTTACTAGGCACCTGACCTGACGCATACTTGCTTTTTGGCAATTAGCTGCTAGCCTGTCATACAAGTTTCTCTATGTATATATAAAAAATATATGTATGCATAAATTTAAAATAATTATAATATATATATACATATAGATCATGTATAAAATTTACCCAATATGTCCAGTATGTATCATGTGGTATATGTAAAAAGTCTTTCCAATCCTCATCTGGGTTTTTTGTTTTCTTCCTCTGTTTTCACTCTTATTTAGTAATAGGGTTTTGAGCAGACCCTCGTGGAAACTTAATAAATAATTATATTAGAACTATTATTATATTATTTTTATCTTTAACCAAAAAAAAATATCTACCGAAGTATTAACAACACCTACAATAGCACTTGATGCTGATGTAGTTTGTGTTATAAAGGGAAGCATTTGCTGTAAAGCTATTGGGTTTGACAATAATTGAAGAAGCAAAGCAATATTTGGATTTGTTTAAGCTATATTTTTATCATCATTATAATTTGTATTATTTGAATTACTAGCCATATTTTGTAAAAATATAAGGTAGAGATTAAGAATCGTGTGAACAAGAAAAAATAAAAGATTTAATTTATTGAATTTTTTTAAAAAAAAGTTAATAACAAATTCTTTTGTCTACTCAAAGATTCTATTGCTATTAATTAAGAGTATAAAATTGAAGATTCAATATTTTAAAAATCTTTGTTGTTTTGAATGATTACAATTTGGTGTAACAATAGTAAGTAATATGATTTATTGATTAGATCAAAAGCATATACATGCAGAGCTTATTTTAATATCTGCATAATATTAAATATATAATATGTCATAACAAAAAGAATCATAAAAAATGAAAGTCTTTTTTCTTAATTAAAATTAGAGTAATAAAGTAAATATATACCTTGTATTATAATCTATATGTATGAAAAAACTATCGATAAAGATTAACAAATAAAAAATATTTTAAATGAGAAATAAGTAAAACCAGTAACAGATAATATAAAACCTAAGGTATCAATAAAAGCGAAAGAATAAAGTAGAATAAAGTAGATTGCTTGTTATCTATTTATAATCAAGACAATTATTATTTAATTATGCTATAATAAGATAAATAAAGTAATGAGAAAATTAGTTCTTTGCATTTGTATATTTTGCCGAAATAAAACTAATAATACTGGAAAATTAATAAGCATTTCTTCCTAAACAAGACATCGACGAAAAGAAAGAGGAATTCTGAGTTCACATAATATATTACATAGTATCCTATTAGCTAATATGCAAATTTTAAATTTGCCTAGTAATGAAAATTCAACCTATAGTAGATTAGAAACAAATTTACTTCGGATCTTTCATTTTCTGCATTAAATAATCTTTCAAAAAATAGTAATGAATTAGAGTTAGAATATAAAGAAACTGAAGAGTCAGAATTTGAACTTGAAGAAGAAACTGAAGAATTAGAATTTATGAAGTTTGAAAACAGTGATAATCGAGATTTTGAATTAGAAAAAGAAAATTCTGAATAAGAAGAAAAAAATTCTGAACAAGAAAAAGAAAATTCTGAACAAGAAGAAGAAAATTCTAAACATGAAGAAGAAAATTCTGAACAAGAAGAAGAAAATTTCGAACAATAAAAAGAAAATTCTGAACAAGAAGAAGAAAATTCTGAACTAGAAGAAGAATTTGAGATTGGTAAATAAGGTTTTTTAGAAGAAATTTTGTTTATACTTATATTTAATATTAATATATATTTTCTTTAAAACAAAGAATTATCAGATGATATAGTTAAAGAACTTCGGCTTCTTTATATTAAAAACAAGTATATATTATCCGATCAAGCTTTTAAAGAAATTATAGAAATATTTGAACTTTCAAAAATTTCTTTATATAAACTTCAAACTATTTTTAGTAATATGGTTCCAATTAAACCAATACTTGTAGATATGTGCTGGAATTCTTGTTGCATATTTGCTGAAGAAAATTCTAGCTGTAAAGAGTGTCCTATTTGTGAAGAACCAAGATACTTATTAGGAAAAATACCAAAAAAAGCCCGAAAGTCTGCTGCATATTTTTCAATAATTGATAGTTTAAAAATGCAATACAAAGACTTAGTATGTGCAAAAATTCTTTGCTATCGACATGAATATATATCAAAGAAAGAATACTTATCCAACAATGGTAAAATTGGAGATATTTTTGATGGTAACTGATATAAATCTTTGGTTACATCAGGACTATTTTCAGATCCTCGTGATATTGCTTTTACTATGTCTATAAATGGGTACTAATTATTCAAGCAAAAACGAAATAATTGCTGGGTTATTTTATTATTAAATACAAATCTGCCTCTATTTGAAAGAAAATTTAATGATAGTTGCAATTATTCCAGGTTCAAAATCACCAAAAAATCTTAATAGTTTCTTACAGCCACTGATAAATAAACTAAAATGCCTTGAAGGTAATTTTAATTTTTTAAATTTACTATATTTATAATTCACAATAAGATAGGACTAATATATATTAAAAAAATTATATAGCAGGTGTATCTTGTTATGATGCATTAACACAGGAAATGTTTACATTAAGAGGTCATATATTATCTGTATCTGGAGATATTTCAGCTTTATCCAAAATTATGTATATGTCTGGTTACAATGCTTATAGTAGGTGTCGATTTTGTTACTTTTGTGGAACATATTCTGAAACAGCTCGGCATGTATATTTCCACTTTCACCACCACAAGGATACAATGGTACTATTTATAATCCAAATAATTTACCAATGCGTACACATAACAGTTATCTTCAAGATATTAAAGAAATAAAATGTAAAAGCAAAAATAAACAACATAAAGTAGAATGTGAAACTGGGATAAAAAAATATAGCATCCTATTTGAATTAAGTTCAATTGATTTTCTGGCATCATTCCCAGTTGATATACTGCATGCACTCTTTGAAAATGTCGCACAACATATGTTTTGCCATTTTAATGGCAAATTTTATAATAATGAAAAGCTTAACAATACTGATTATAAGATTTCAGCACATAATTGGAATAAAATTGGAATATTAATAGAGAATAATCAAAAAATGATGCCCTTGGAATTTGGAAGACCACCAATTAATATCCAAAAATATTATAATAACTTTAAAGCTGAAGATTGGTATAATTGGATGGTCTTGTATTCAATTCAACTTTTTCAGAATCATCTTCCAACATGGTATATACCAATTTTATTAAATTCACATAAAATTTTAACTAATTTTTAATATTTTAAATTTTATAGATACATAAATAGTTGGGCAAAATTTGTCAAAGCAACTCAACTATATCTTGAGCTGACTATTTCTAATGAAGAACTTAAAGAAATTAAGATATTATTTATAGATTTTTTTAAATACTATGAGCGGTAAATTTTTATTTATTAATATCATAAATATTTAAAAAAATTTACAGTATTGTTATAAATATAAATATAATTTTATTTATATGATATAAATTTTTCTTAATTTTAATATTTAAAGAGAATACTATCAAAAGGATCCTAATCATCTTTCAGCAATGCTTATTAGCTTCCATTATCTTCTGCATATTTCAGATTCAATTGTTGAAACTGGCCCAACATGGGCCACATGGCAATTTCCTATGGAAAGGCTCTGTGAAATGCTAATACCTTTAGTTCATTCACAGCAAAATCCTTATACAAACTTAATAAAGCAAGTAACTACATGGATGCAATTTACCCATTTGCAGTTTTATAATAAATATAATCAGAAAATTTTCAGTGTAAATTCTGAAAAGTCTCAGATTCAGTCATTTAAGCATCTTTTTAATCCTCCAAATGATGAAGAAAAGATATACTCATTGTTCAAAGAACATTTAATGACCAAAGCTGAGATTTGTAAGATTAAGCAGTATTATGCAACTATATATAATTTAGATATATCTTGTATTAAGGTAATTTTAGAATTTGTTTTATATACTTTACTAGCAAAATGTTACTAATATAAAAAATTTTAGATAACTACAACAAAATTCAGAAGTATGGAAAATTACAAACCAAATTTGGAGTGGTAATTAGTTCACAATTTGCAAATCATAAAGGAGATAACTCACGAAATAATTACTCAATTGTGGTGAGTTAAATTTATTATATCCTATAAGGTTTAAAAATATTGTTAATATTTAATTTTTGTGCAGGCAAAGCTTCTAGTTGACAAGAATGCACACCGCCCAAAAGCCCCATGGAATTTGAAGAACGAGAGTTCTATGGCCAAGTCTTATTTTATTTCACACACGAATATGAGGGTGAGGTATCAAAGCTTGCCTATGTGCATTGGGTCAGAAGTCCAGAAATTTTTGTAAATAATATACGATGTTTTCATAACTTCGGTGAAATAGGGGTTATTAATATTACCGCTATTGACCATTGTGTTGGATTTCTTAAAATTGCAGCAAATAAATATGTCATTGTAGATCGAGAAAATCGGGCCACATTCAGATAAAATTTAGGATACTTGGTTTTATTTTATAATACATATAGTAGCAAAGATTATGTTTATAAATTTTAAATTAGAAAATTTCCTGTATATTTTCAAAAAATTATTTTAAATCCTGATAATTTCTGAACTATAATTAATTTAAAAAAAATTTCCAAAGAATTTCTGGAACAGTATCAATATTGAAGTTTTTGTTTTAGACTATATAATTTCAGTTCGGAACATAATCGGAACAGATTCAACCCATCCTGAATATAATCTGAATATGTTCATTAAAAATTTTTTATAGGGATATATATGCACATTAATACGTAAGTATATATAAATTGTTTGATCTATGATCATTTGATGACCGACTAATTACAAGTATTTGAGTGTCAAGTTTTTGTTTACACTGTTTTTATAAATTCTGGGACACCTAAAAATTTTCTCGTTTCCCGAAATCTCTTCGGTTTCGTCCTATGGATCATCTAACTCTTCGGACAATACATCGCTATCTCCGGAATGAAGTTCCGAAGACAATGACGTGATTCCGAAGAGTTAGGTGACCTTTAGGACGAAACCGAAGAGATTTCGGGAAACGAGTAAATTTTTAGGTGTCCCAGAATTTATGAAAACAGCTGTAATTGCGCCGAGCATTAGCTATAAGGTTGTCCAAAAGGAGTAGGTTCTGTAGCTGCAATAAATTACGGCTGCCGAAAACAATTTCAGCTGCCGAAATAATTACGGCTGCCGAAAATAATTTCGGCATCCGTAATTATTTTCGGCATTTAGGCATTTTGAAGAGGCTGCCGAAAATATAAAAAATGCCGTAATGCCGTAATGCTGTAAATCGTCCCGAATTTAGGCACACATGTATAGATGTAGATCAAAATTAACGTTAAAATTTTTATTTGCTTAATTTGACATTACTGTAT